TCTCTCTCTCTCTCTCTCTCTCTCTCTCTCTCTCTCTCTCTCTCTCTCTCTCTCTCTCTCTCTCTGTGTGTGTGTGTGTGTGTGTGTGTGTGTACCGTGAGATAGGTCAGTTATCTGTGGCCACCACAGGGGAATGGACTCTGGGCACTGTCCCACCATCTCGTCTTATCCTTTGGCTGGTGGGACCGTGCCCCTGGTCGGTATCAGCAGGTTTTCAGCCAACACGTGAGTGCGAGTGTGAGTGGGTTGTGGTGTGGTGTATGGGAGAGTGTTGCCCTTAGACACTGCTGTTATTCGGTTTGGGGTGGAGGACGATGAAAAGGGAGGCGCAGCAGCTACTGGCAAAATTCTCGGTTCTACTGTTAGGAGGGGCCCCCAACAGCGGCCTCAACCCTGCACCCTGAAGTTCCCCTAAACAACTAGGGCAAGCGGCAAACGTGCAATACCTCCCCCCACCGAGAGAGGTAACCTCCCTTCACCAAGAGACGTGGATAGCCATGCTTGAAGGGGGGCCCTGATATAGCCTTAGGAGTACTGGCAGCTAGGTAGTGAAAGATGAAAGAATTTGAGAGAAGAAACAATAGCCAAGGCCGGTGCCCGCTAGTAATATGGCCAATTGCTCTTTTGAAATAAAAAATAAGAAGTAAAAAAGTTGTAGCTAGAAAAAAAAACAAAAGAACAAACAAATAAGAAAGTCGAGGACGTGGAGTCGGTTGTTAGTGTAGGTGGCAGAATAGAGGGTAGAAAACAAAGACGGATAAAAGGGCAGCATGCTGAAGCAGTTTCCCAACTTAGGGCGAAAAGCTCCGGGACATCCGTTAAAGTTGGAACGATACAGAGAAGATAAGCAAGAAGCCCCCTCAGCCCCCCTGTGCAAGGACGATACTTTCCGAAGGGGGAAGATGATTGTCATCACGTATTGTGGTGGTGGGTGTGTTCTACCCAAGAAGCGTGGTTTCTTTAGAGAAGATAAGAATGCCCGTTAAGCTGGAGAGATGATGGTCTTGGGAAGTTCAACCATGACGACAAAAAGGAGGAAGGAGAAGAGGGGGGTGAAGGAAGGAGGAGAACAGGAAGAGGAGGAAGAAGAAGGGAGAAGAGGAGGTTGGAATGTCGAACATCGCGAGCGGTGGGAAAGTTGCTGGCCAAGTATTGACACTTCTTCCCCTACGAGAAGTTTTCACGCATTGCTGTACAAAATAACGGGAGCAACGCTCTTCTGTCACAAAGAAGAAGAGAGGAGAGAGGAGAGAGGAGAGAGCAACGGAGAAGGAACTGAAAAGGGCCTGTAAAAAGGAGAAGGAGAGCACATCTGATTAACATCTCCTTCTCTCTGTTCCCAGCAAGGTGGGTGGTGTCGGCTCCATGCTTTTTAAGTTGTTCGGGCCAGGCAGCGTCAGCTGGCATGACCTTTTGCCCTTTCGCCTGAACAAGGGGAAAACCGCGAACCCTACTATAACCTACCCCCCCAAAGTACTTGGCAGTTGGAGCCTGCTGCGACTTGCAGTTGCTGGATATGTGGACAACGACAGCCCGTCGATTGATTACGTACCTGGATGGCATCGCAGCAAGCATACAGTTACGAGTCAGATACCGGTAGCGTCCGTTTATATCCCTGTGCGGATGTTACTTGAGATTTCTGAGGCAGAGTGAGGCAGAGACGCTCTCTTTCACATTGTTATTGTGAGGGGACTTGTGTGTGTGTGTGTGTGTGCGTGTGTGTGTGTGTGTGTGTGTGTGTGTGTGTGTGTGTGTGT